TAAGGAAAGCAAATGTTGTTTTGAAGAGCAATTAAACAGTCCAAATCCAAATCACAAGCGATCAACAGTCCAGTTCTCGAATCCAAAATTAGTAACAGTACGAAATCAACAAGCACGAACATGTAAAGATGCGCAGTAAACGAAGGAGTACTGATCGGTATCAAAGTGTGCAATAGCAAGTAAGTGATGTGCTTCATCCATACCACATACAGCGTGTTCAACCTCTCCTGCCCGGGATTGAGCCCCGAGTTGCTTTTTGTCGCACAATGTTAGAAAGACACAGGTTAGATCCACAGTTCTTTGAAAAAATTTTATGGTCGGATGAGACAACATTTAAGAAAGATGGGTACATGAACCTGCATAACTTACACAAGTGGCAAGTAGCAAACCCACATTTGATGAGAGAAGATAAATCTCAATATTGCTTCAAGATAAAACATTGGACAGGAATTTTAAATGGTAAAATAGTCGGTCCGTTTGAGTTCCCAGAGACTTTGACTGCTGAAGTTTATTTGGATTTTTTGAAAAATCATGTACAAAATTTATTGGTGGACGTGCCACTGAGTATTTACAGGGACATGTGGTTTCAGCATGATGGCTGTCCAGCGCACTATGCACTCTCAGTGAGAGAGTATCTCGATCAAAACTTTCCAGGCAGATGGATAAAGCGGTCTGGTACAATACCGTGGCTAGCCCGATCACCTGATTTGAATCCTTTAGATTTTTTTACTGGCGAACTGTAAAAGAAAAAGTGTATTTCAAGCTGATTCAAAATGTAGCTGAGCTACGGCAAAGACTATTGGAAGCAGCTGAGTTTGTTAATAACCGTGGATTCGCTCGTTTAATAACCCGATCTTTTTTAAGAAGATGCCGAGCGTGTATTGCGGCTGAAGGAAAACAGTTTGAGCATTTGCTGTAAAGGTAAATCATCATCAACAGCATTTTGACGCCCACTGTTGTGCACACAGTTATCCTTAAGGGTCCTTGTGCGTTTTCATAATCGCTGTTTAATTAGGAAATTTTGAAAAATTTTCATCAGTTTTTTTTCAAATAAAAATTGTGCATAAGTTAACGGGTAATCTTCTAAGTGTTATGCCATTTTGGAATCGTTATTAAATGCGCCAACTTTTAAGGTTACTTGCCAAACTCTCGTAGTACATTTTTTTCCAGTACAGCCAGTTAAAGTTGAGCAAAGTTTTACTTTGGAATACTTGGTTGGGAAATAAGTGTCAATTTTTCCTGACCGAGAAATGTTGGCAGTAAGGTTGACACACCAGTTTGAAGATGCATTATTCATCATTACATTGTAAAAATGAAATCCAAAAAAAGTTAATATTTGTAGTAACAGGAGTTGACAGACTGCCGTAGGGTGTGAAATTTCTATATCTTTTTCAAAGACCTATAATTTTCAAAACACATACATAAAATTTTTTTAAATATTTTTCTGATAGCTGTTATGACTTTGCCTGTCACTCGGTTTCGGCTTGACGTCGACTTCTGGGACACCCTGTATATATATATATATGTAGCACGTACTATTCAAAAGATATATTTCACATAAAATTATGGGAAGTTCAAGCGCTAATGGATACATACGCTCATTACACAATCAATATCGATTATCTACGACCGAGCCGAAAATTGTACTCTCAGGGCATTAAATCTCAATTTTTACAGTCTCTACGGGCAGACATTGCATAATATTTTAGATAAAATTTTGGCAACCAGAAAGCGTTCGCACTTACTGAAGTGTAAAAAATGCCCCATATAAAGAACTTCGTGACAGTGTGTCTTTGTATCCCAAGTTTTAATGGAAATGTGTTTGTTCACCATTCTGCATATGTTGTACGAGTATACAGGGTGTTTCACAGCTTATCCGACAAATTTTAACCACATTTGCACTGTTACGAAAGAAGTTGATTACTCAAAAAAAAAGTAATAAAAGTCATACAGAAATCGAGATAATAAAATAATACAGTTTAAGACTTCACTTACTTAAAGCTGTTCAAAATTGTTTCCATTGGCTGCAATGCAAGCTTGGGCGCGTCTAATCCAATTTCGGCGCACTAATTCAAATACACCTCGTTCCTGCTGTGCCTGAAGGCTCAAATTAGCGACAGCCACTGTGATTCGGTCACGCAATTCTTCAATATTTTGAACTGGAGTACGGTATACCTCGTTTTTCAAGTATACCCATAATTTCTTATTTAACTTCATAAAAATCGACCGTTCTTCATTCAGATCACCCACGATACAGATTAAACCTTAGTTACACATTCTTATCAGTACGAAAAGACAAAAAATTCCTGGTACTTTGTTTTCATCAGTTGTTTGGTACAACATTTGCTCCCATAAATTATTAATGCGTGTTCTAATACCACGACGATGGACGCAAAATACAGATATTTATTTTTCAATTTGTTATTGAAACTCAGGCTTATAACTTAATTTCTGCAGGACCTTTATGGCATTTTTTTCTGAGAAATCAACTTCTTTCGTAACAGCGCATATGTGGTTGAAATTTGTCGGATAAGTTGTGAAACATCCTGTATAAGAAAACATATAGACGATATACAATTTAACGAATCTTGCAGTTTCTGCGTGAAAGGATATTTTTTTACTTTCATAAAAAAAAACAGAGCAATTAGCCCATTGCCGCCTCAATAAGTATTAATACTGCTATCGACAGACGGTGGTAAATACTAAAACATACTCATTATTTATTGCGAACCGGAAATCGACTTACCAGAATTTGCAAATCTATAAATCAGTCGTCTAAATGCAAAACCCGACAAGTCCATTTAAAGGAATTGTAGGGAAATCGCAAAAAACGTTTATAACGTCTATTTGTCTTAACCCTGGAGCGCTTAGGCGAATAGCACGGCTATAGTTGCTTAGGCGGGGTTACCAATAACCCCAGTGATATATTCCTATTTAATGAACAAAATATAAAAGATAAACACTTTTGTTTCAATAATAAAACATTTATTTCAAACACTCGGTACATATTTCAGCTCGATGATTACTGCAAACAGCCTTGAAACATTTCGCACAGGCAGTTTTTGTTTTTCGGTCATTTGTTCTTGGACATAAAATGCAGCGAGTCTGTTTTAGCAATTTTGCTGGAGGTGGATCAACTTTTTCTTCTGTTTTCATATCTAGAATATTCATTATTGATTCTTTCAATTTTCGAGGTCTTTCCATATGAGGCCTGACCAGTTGTAGTCCAAGTTCAAATAGGTATTTTCGACGAACACTTTTTTGCCTATCACGCTTAACAATTTGGAAAATAATGTTGGAGTTAATGCCTACTTGATCCATTATACCATAAAAAAAGCGTAATGGCCACCTGCGTGTTTTGCGGGATACGGAATATGTGTGCACCATCTGGTCAAAGGTATCGACACCTCCTTTGGTAGAGTTGTAAAAATTTATTATCTCGGGTTTTTTATTTTCATCTATTGTACTACCAGAATGCATTGTCGATAAAAGTAGCACAGATTTAGACTTCTTGGGTGTGAAGGACACCAAGGTTTTTTGGTTGTCGAATCCAAATTGAGAAGACATAATTTCTTTTCGTTTGTTTGGGAGAAATGATGGAGGAATTTCCCTCTTGTTTTTTCTGAGAGTAACCACAATGGTCAAATTGTAGTCAACAAGCATTTTGTCAGCCAGTGGGATGGAAGTAAACCAATTGTCCATCGTCAAATTGCGTCCGGTTCCGTGAATGGGTTCTGTCAGTTTTCTTACGTAATAAGCTGGGAGAGGTTCTTTATCTGGCCTATTTTCTTTGCCGATATATGGAATAGCAGTAACCATATAATATGTGCGTGAATCACACATCGTTACAACTTTGATTCCATATTTGTCAGGTTTTGATGCAATATACTCTAAAAGGGCAGTAGCCTCGAAATCCCAATAACTGTTCGTCGATGGTACAATAACTGTGAGGAGTATAGTATTTTGTACAGTTAGATATAAACATTTCCCATATATTACGTACTGTAGAAAATGTATCTTCTCGGTCTCTCATGGTTTTGTCGTCAAATCTGAGGCAAGATATCAAAAATCTAAACCTTGTTTCACTCATTACGCATCGATACACTTCTGGTCCATGCTTTGACCACATTTCTGCTGTAGTTAGATGATTGTCTTTTCTACAACCTGTCATATAAAGCAGTCCTATCAAAGCCAAGATCTCTTCAACGTCTGTCTCGTTAACAAAGCCACAATTAGCAACATATTTCCCTCTTTGTCGTTCTATTTCCATATTTGTATACACCACTATAATATCTATAACATTCGCGCTAAAAAATAACTTCCATGCCTCTAATTCCGTTGAAATATTTTTGGCCGCACCTTTTGGTCCTGGAATACATGAAACAATGTTTCGCTTAGGTGTTCGAGTACGACATGGAAGCTCAGTGCTCCAAATATTTTCCTTTTTTTCCTATTTTTTCCTTTTATTACTTTGCCAGGAAGTTGTTGTTCTGTCTCACTCTCTACTTCACTATCATCCGTTGAGTAGGTGCTCTCCCTGTCGGACTGAATTGAAACATGGTCGTCATAGTCAGTGCCGTCATTATCTGAATCAGGTTCATTGTCGAGTTCTTCGTTCCATCGTAACAGAGTTTCTTCAAATTTGGGATCATCTGGTCGGACAGCCATCTAAATAAATTACGTAATCTAGTGTGTGGAATAAAATAAAAATACCAGTTTAAGTTTACCTGGGGTTACTCGTCACCCCAAACACAAAATATCATATAAACTATTGCACTGAACAAAAATGTGCGACCAACAACACACACACTTTAACCTCAAATGAACATAGCGGGATCTCCGATGTTGCCAATTTATGCACAAAAAATTAGTGAACATTTGAATTTTCTTTGGGGTGATGCAAAACCCCACTAAGCATTACATGGTTAACAGAAACCAGCAAATTGAAACAAAATTTTATCAAAAAAATGTGTTATAATTAATAATTACTTAAATTAAGATTAAAGTTTGGACTTGTCGGGTTTTGCATATAAAACATGGTGACTTGTCGGGTTTTGGGTATTAACTTTGGCTAAAACAAGGCGAATCGGCAAAACACGAACAAACTTTTGGATTATTTTATTACAAAGTAGTATTAAGAAAATGCACATTCCAAACAACATACAATTTGTATTTTCTAAACAAAACAACTCTGTATTGGCTTCATTACCATCTCGTGAGGTTGAAGTGGATGGGAGAGGAAGTTCATAGAAGGCACTTTTGAAAAATGATAAAGCTTCATCATTTCGCCAATTACTTCCGTAATGTTTTGCAATCAAATTACTGATACTCTTCTTCTTATCCGATTTCAATGGCATTCCAATGTCTACAGTGCTTGGTTTGATGTCCAACTTTCTTCCTCTCCTCAGCAGGGACTGGTTGGTGCCCATGTCATTCTTATAGAAACTTTCACCTCTTACTGCATAACCGGTTTCAGTTTTTGAAATTATGATGCGTTTGGACACTTGCAACTTGAAATGCCACTGTGATGTTGGTTTCATAACTATCTGAACTTTTGACTTCCAGTCCTGTACAGGAACATCAACTCCCAACATGTAGATGCTTCCCCACTTCTCTATTACTTTCATGTATTGTTCTGGACTTGTAATTTCAGGTGACTTTTTAATAACCTTCTCAATTTGTCCAAATAGCCTATCTGGTGGAATATAGGAATGCCCCACAACCGAAAAAAATATTTCAATTTTGTGTTGGGGGTTACTGCACTGTAATAACCAATGGGATAACATCCCAATGACGATGGAGTTTTTATTTTGCGCACCGCAACCATCACAATAAAGGCGAACGACTTTAGTAGATTCGCTAAATTTAAATGTGCTGAGAGTATGATATAATGCTGATGCTATTTCATTGGATCCCCTTTGATGATCTAGTTCAGTCCATACATAGGAATTGACTGAAGTTGGACTTATTTTTCCTTTAGAAGTCCCCTGTACAATTGCAAAGTGATAAAAGTTGCATACTGAAGTAGGCTGCTTGATCTGCGATTTTTGGCAGAGCCAGGTTTTTTTGACAATCAAAGCTGAATGTAACAACCTCATTGTCAGCATGGACTTCTTTCAAAAGCTCATAGAAGCACTTTGCTCGAATTTTGTGAGCTCGCTGTTGAGCCATTAATCGATTCTTTGTGTTGATATCTAATGACATTTTTATTTGGTCTTGAAACTGCAGGCATGTTGAACACATGTCGGTTTTAGGAGTATCAAAGCCAACATTGTATTTTCTGGTGAAAAAGTATCTGAAAAATGACTCCTTAACCTGAAGATCTTTGTCCACGGTATTGTTAAACATTCTCCAAAGTTTCCTGATATTTAGTTCTGCAGGCAAATAAATTCTACTGAATGTCTTAGATCGGCAATAATGAGACTCTATGCACTTCAGTGATTCAACAAACTCTTTTATAGCCGCTCGCTTTGTGTTATTTTTACCTTTTGTCCGATCACCTCCACGTCGTTCTTTGGGCATTTCATTGCTTTCCTTGTACCGTTTTACTACATCCAAAATCCTGTCTTTCTTCACTCCCAGAATGTTCATGAAACTCTGTCTGCACACATTAACCATTAGCCCATCTCTTCTTTTCACATAGTATTTCACTGACATAGATTTCGGCTTATTTTTTTCTTGTTCTCGTTTTCTTGATCTTTTGGGATCAGTAACGCTGCAGTGCTTCAATATAAAATTGTCCTGGGTGATTTTCTCTGATGTTTTGTAAAATGAGTCATAAAAAAATTTTATATCTCTCATGGTCAGCAGTGATATACATTGAAAGGGCTGGTACGTCTTACCTACATGCCCATATTTTGGAAATGTTGGCAATAATTTTGCAGAATATCTAGAAAAATACATACAAATAAATTACTGTTGCTACCGTGTAACAAGTATGTATTAGCTTACCTGTTGCGTTTTGCATTTTCCCGCTTAGACGGCGTTTTAACTTTCTTTCGAGATCTATTACCTTCCGATGGTAGTATATTATATTTTTCACAATGCAATTCACATATATTTTAGGCTAAAATACCATCAAACTAGATCGCACAACCTTAATCATTCGAGACTCAACGCAAAATAAACATGTGCATGCAAGTCAGGGCGACAAACCTCGATTGCAACACGTGATTGACCAAACACGAATTTCATTGGTCGACATGGACATGTCGGTATTTGAATTGAAACGACGCGAGGACATGTCGGCTTTTGCATTTCAAGGGAATTTTCTGTATTAAAAATAGCGTTTTAGAAGTCGGGTTTCGCCCTAAAAATATTGCATAGTTTGTAGCCCTTTAGATAAAGAATTCAATGGTGTATAAAACTGAAATTCCAAAATGTTGTGACTTGTGGGGTTTTGCCTTTAGACGACTGAAATATAAGCATATATTGATGTACCAGCCTTATTAACAATAATAAACAGACAAGGCCAAAACATGACGATTGGCACTAAATAAATGTTACATCTTAAACATCTGTTAATAATTAACTTTTATATTTTTAGCTCGTTGGTCCATTTGGTTTCGTTAACTTTTTCATGTCAAATATTGCTGTATTTCTGGTTTTATGTAGGTTCGCTAATTGTCTTTTCAAATGATAGATGGGCATACATGCTATTTAATATATGAATCACTCTTTAGTAAACTTAAATTCAAGGTTTCATAACAATACGTGCAGTGTTCTCACTTAAAAAATTTTTTCATGACAAATTAAGAGTCCTGTTGACTGAAGAGCATAAAGCAATCAGGGTTAATTAGTGTCGAAAAACGCTTGATCGTTTCAATTCCGGAAACTTAATAAATGTGTACAGCATTGTTAGTGGTGATCGTGGATTTACTGTTATGAACCAAAAAATAAACGACAGTCGGCTGTTTGGGTATTCCAAGGTGAAGAAAAGCCAACAAAGTCATCCATTCTCGAAGTGTTTCGAAAAAGATGGTCGCAACATTTGTGTCAAAAGCGGGTCATGTTGCAACAATTTCTCTTAATGAGCAAGGAACTGTTACTGCGGATTGGTATACCATCATTTGTTTGCCAAAAGCCATCACCGAGCTTCGGAAAATCAACCCCGAAAGAAGAATCATCCTCCACCAAGTCAATGCAAGCTCGCACACTGCCCAAAAGACAAGGCAGTATTTAACGGATGAAAACGTGGAATTATTGGACCATCCTCCATATAGTCCCGATCTAAGTCCTAACGATTTCTTTACTTTCCCGAAAATTGAAAACAGACTGCATGGTCAAAGGTTCCAGTCACCAGAAGAAGCAGTTGACGCATTCAAAAATGCCGTTTTGGATCTGCCAGCAAACGAGTGGAATAAGTGCTTCGAAAATTGGTTAAAGCGCATGCAGATGTGTATTAATCTTCGTCGAGAATACTTCGAAAAACAATACATTTAAAACTACCTACCGTGTTGTTTTATTTCCATATGCACAACTTGAAAGACATCCCTCGTATACGCATATAGCTTTGACATACATCCAATATTAGATTATGAATGATCCTAAAAGTAAACGTAATGTATTAAAATTGCATTTAAACAAAACTTGATCAAATACGACGAAGTATGACATGTTGCGGAAACAGTTGTACAAGGAAACACACTGTAAAATATGAAGATGTTGTCGTAATTGGTGGAAGAGGTATAGTACCTACTATACTACAACTATTTAAAACTGTAATGACCCATACGCGTGATCAACACGTGATCAGAGCTCGATCCCGGCTTCCTTCCAGTACAGCCGTATAGCGTACGACATATGTCGTTTCTGTGGCTTTGCGGTGGTCAACAGCACAGACAGAGATGGAAATAATGGCTGATTGTTCTCCGCCGGTAGAACCAATGAAATCAAAGACGCGCCTCGACCGGCAGACTCATAGGCGTCGGCAACGCATTGGAACGTGTTTCGTTGAGCGATCGCATATTGTGTGTTTTTATAAGAATTGTTGTGTGATTGTTATTGTTGTGGTTTCTGTGGTTACTGTTTTGGTTATACTTAACCATGGAGAGTACAAATGGCACGAGTGGAAGTACTGAAAGCCAGGGAACAAGTAGAAGGCTTCGTAAAGCACTGAAGAGGGACGCGAAAGAAATCGTGCTCAACGTGTTCAATTATCTGAACAGAACTATGTCGCAGGGAGATGCACTCGCGCGTTGTGAAAGTATGACAGGCGTTCCAGAGTGGACCATTCGCAGGGTGGTGCATGAAAAGAAGAAAACTGGAGCTACTACTGATCCAAAGTTTAATTTGAAGGGACGAAAGGCCGTTAAATTGGATGGCGATAGCAAAATGGCGTTAAGGCGAACCGTACATTCATTCTTCTTTAGGAATGAGATACCAACCCTCAAGGCTGTACATGCCGCGATCAAGGAAAATGAAATTATACCCCAAATGAGCGTCGAGGTAATGAGGAAATCCCTGCACGAAATTAATTTTCGTTACGAAATGCGTAATCGGAAGTGATTGAATGTAGGCGACAAAGCAGAAAAATCTATTATTTGGACGAGACATGGGTAAATGCAGGTCACGCAGTTAAAAAAACCTGGATAGACAAAAACGTAGTGAGTAACCGACAAGCAAGCATTGAAGGTTTGTCAACAGGTCTTCGTGGACCGTCAGGGAAAGGTCAAAGATTGATCGTAACTCATATTGGTAGCGATAGTGGCTTTTTAGAAGAGTGTGACTTGATTTTCGTCTCTAAGAAAGGAGGTGATTACCATGACGAAATGAATACCAGCTGCTTCGAGAGCTGGTTTCAAGGGGTGCTTCAGCGAGTTGAGCCCAACTCTGTGATCGTCATGAATAATGCTTCCTACCATAGTCGTCGAGCCGAACGTGTACCGACTATGGGATCTCGAAAAAGTGACATGCAGCAATGGTTGCGCGAAAAAGGAATCCCGTTTGATGATTCATGTGTGAAAGCGGAATTGTATGAAAAAATTAAACAGCACAAACCTGCGAACATTAGTTACGTGACTGATGAGATGGCCCGTCAATGTGGTGTTACTGTGCTGCGGTTACCGCCCTACCACTGTGAACTGAACCCAATAGAGCTCATCTGGGCTCAAGTGAAGGGTTATATTGCGCGCCATAACACAATCTTCAAATTACCAGACGTTAAGGTTTTACTTGAGACTTCCATACAGCTAGTAACGCCCGAAGCTTGGCAGAATGCTATCCGTCATGTTGTGAAGGAAGAAACAAAAATGTGGCAGCTTGACCACCACATCGACACCATTATAGAGCCAGTTATAGTCAATTTCTACGAGGAAAGCGATAGCGACAGTTTATTACTGTCAGATGTAAGTGAAAGCGACGATGAATAAAGGTAATTCCCAAATTTTTGACTTACAATATGTTTCAAACCACTCTTTATTAAGCATGTGACAAATCTAGTTCACCCATGTTAAACATTCATACCCTGCCTATGAACAGCCGACTGCTGGTAGTTAAGTGATGTTCACGTGAACATCGATGAGTCATTACAGTTTTAGATAGTTATAGTATAGCGCCTGCCCTTATGGAATGGTTTAATAATTCCCTAATTTTACTAGACTATATGACTGAGTGTGATATAAAGCCATGCCAGGAAGATCCAGGGAGATCATAGAAGTTGGTCGAGAGTTACAAATGGACCGCATTACCAACTAAATAGAATGCTCTCTTATTTTTCCGGCCAACAGATAATTTCTTATTCATAAACTTGGCAGCGATCATATTTTGTTACTTTGTAGGAAGCGGCGGCGAGGATGGAATTCATTCGCAACATAAAAGCACTTTGCCGGCGTAACGTTTCCGCTGGGATTTCCTTTTTCCTCACTCGAGGTTTTCCGCTAAGTAGGAGATATTTCGCATGCTGTTTAACTAGTTTTGTTTTATACAGCTGATACATAAACAAGTCAGATTTAGTGCTCGTATATCATTATATGAGCGCTAAAATACTTCTTAAGTAGAGAAACTCGTATATGGGCTAATCCAACGGCGGATCCAGGATTTGTGTTCAAAAAACTCTTCAGGAAGATGTTCTTCTCGTCTCCGGGAAGGGGGAGTGATAGCAGTGCCTCTTGACAATCCTACTCTTGTACCCTTAGGGTACAGCCTAAAAAAGATTAAAATATTAAATCTAATACAAAAATGAACAATTTATTGGTTAAATAACAAAATTAATTCTTCTTTTTTGTCTTCCTGCGAATCGATTAATATTAATACTTACCGTCTCCTTTGATACCAGTGCAACAACTTTTTTGTGGTTTTGTCCGTCACAGTGGCGGATTTAAGTAATGGCAAAATGGAAATTGCCGCCTGGGCCCCCCAAGGAAGGGTGGCCGCAGACCCTCCCCCCCAGCAAAAATCAGCTCTAGTGTCTACAGGGTGTTTCAGTTTATTGTTGCATAACTTTAAGATTCGATAGAAGTTTTAAAATTAATGCATAAAGTCTATATAAACATGGGTCGAAAAATGCGTTGCTTCCGAAATACAGGGTGTTTAAATTTACTTTCTAAAGTAGTTTTTTTTGAATATTTCGAACAATATTTGATGTATAACAGTGAAAATTTGTATACAAGGGTTTTTTGGTACGACAAAACGAACCATGGGCATAGTTTTACTGTAGCCGCTAGAGGGCGCTCTCTACTGTACCTGTAGTGTATTAAAATGACCGAAAATTTCTTCTTAGTGCAATTTTTTGCTTTTTGAATAAAAAAATGATTCTTCGCACTTTTCAACATAAAAAAGCTCTCTTGTAAATTTCCGTTATAGTTAGCCGTTTTTGAGATATTTCGATTTTTAAGGTTCGATGCATTTTTAATTATTTATGGGAAAATAATATTTCTTTACATTATCGATTTGGGCATTACAAGTAATTATGATGATCGTTTAGATTGTGTTTTTAAAAACAGCAATAATTCCTAACTCCAAATAAACACAAAAAAAACAGAATATTAATTTGTTTAATTTTCCAATATTATTTTTAACAAATTAAATTAATTATTTACAACTAAAATGCAATTGGATAGTTAGGACAAACATACAAAATCTAAAGTAGTTGCTCGAAATGTAAATCCAATTGTTCAATAAACAATTCACATCTACGTATGATCGAACGTGGTATAGCATTATTCAAATAAGGCCTTATTTCATCACATGCATTCCTGATTCTGTCTATTAGCATATCTCTTGTGGTTACGGGAGTCTGGTACACTTTTTCTTTTAGAAATCCCCACACAAAGAAATCTAATGGATTTAGGTCAGGGGATCGTGGATGCCAGGCGACTGGTCCTCCACGGCCGATCCATCTTTCTGGATAATTTTCGTCCAGCCAGTTTCTATCTATTCTCGAATAATGAGCTGGACAACCATCAAGCTGGTACCAGGCCAATCTTCTTAAATCTAACATAACATCATCCCACATATTTGCATGTTTTCAGCCTTTAAAAATTCCAAGAAGGTCGCAGCATTTAACCTTGCAGGCAAAAGGTAGGGTCCAAATAGTCGATTACGGTAGATACCAATCCACACGTTCACACTAAATTCATGCTGAAAATTTCTTTCCCGAACTGCATGCGGATTTTCATGTGACCAAATATGTTGATTATGAAAATTTACCACTCCACGTCTAGTGAAGCATGACTCATCGGTCCATAAAACGTTACTTAAAAACTCCCTATTATTATCAGTTCTATCAAGAATCCACTGACAAAATGTGATTCTTCGTTCGCCGTCCCCTGGCTGTAGTCCTTGCACAGGTTGCAAATGGTAAGGACGTCTATCGTCCTTGTGGTCGGATCTCTATCAAACTCACGCAGAATCATAAGGGTAAATCTGCGCTGACGAACATTTATGTTTTGATCCCTTTGGAGATTTCCAAAACCATTTTCAATTATTTGGCGATGCTGCGTTTCCATTTACAAAGCCATACACAAAATGAACATCCACTAACTCTTGATTGGAGAATAAAAATGGCATTTTCATAAAACTTACAAAAAAGAAAACAGGTAAAAGAAACTAAATTTCGTGCATTCACAATTGCAAAAAAACGTTTCAGGTTTCAACAGACAACAAAACTAACTGACAACTAATTGACGTTTAACCTTATTCTGCTTTCAATTTCAAACTACTTCTAAAAATTATCGAGATACTGACTTTTTAACGTTATTTTCATAAATAATTAAAAATGCATGGAACCTTAAAAATCGAAATATTTCAAAAACGGCTAACTATAACGAAAATTTACAAGGGAGCTTTTTTATGTTAAAAATTGCGAAGAATCAGTTTTTTTATTCAAAAAACAAAAAAATGCACTAAGAAAAAATGTTCGGTCATTTTAATACGCTACAGGTACAGTCGAGAGCGCCCTCTAGCGGCTGCAGTAAAACTATGCCCATGGTTCCTTTTTTTGT